TAAATAAGGAAGCTGCCATTAGAACAGAGCAAGAAAACACTGCCAAAATCAGGAAGGGATGTGCCCTGTCTTCATACCTTTTTAGTCTATAATGCAGAATAGATAATTTGGGAGGCTGGTCTTTATGAGGAGGAAGGTGGTGTCAGGATTGGAGGAACATCAACAACTTGTGTTATGCAGGTGAAACAACTTGTGTTATGCAGATGAAACAATCTTGTTTGCTAAGGGGGATCTGAAGCATATGCTGCAGAAGGTCAAAGACTGCAGTCTTCAATACAAATTGAAGCTGAACAGCAAGAAAACAGAGATCCTCATCACTGGGGCAATTCACAGCACCATGGTAGATGGAGAAGAGCTTGAAATTGTAAACAATTTTAGCCTGCTTGGCTCCACTATTAACACTCTTGGCACCAGCAGACAGGATATCAGAAGACAAATTACATTAGGGAAATTTGCAGTCAGGGACCTCTCCAAAGTGCTGAAGAGCAACAATGTCAGTCTAAACACCAAGATGCACTTGATTAGGCCATTGTTTTTGCATTTATTTGCTATGCATCAGAAAGCTGGACAATGAATAAGGATAACAGAAAAAGAATTGATACCTTTGAATTGTGGTGCTGGAGAAAAATATTGAACATATCATGGACCACCAAAAAATAAACAGGTATTTATTGGAGAGGGTGAAACTAAGCTGTTTCTTGGAGGCAAGGATTTTGAAGCTTCCACTCACATACTTCAGGCACATGGCCAGCAGGAATCAATCCTTGGAGAAGGACATGCTTGCAAGGCGAGAGGGACAGTGCAAGACAGGAAGACCCCAGATGAGATGGATTGACACATTTACTGGGGTATTGATGGTAGCTGTGTCAGAGATAGTTGGCTTTGCTTAGGATAGAGAAGGGTTTAGAGCTATTGTACATAGGGTTGCTATAAGTGGCAGGCAATTCGATGACATATAACAACAACAACAACAACAACATCTTAAGGATATTAATTTTATACTTTTTCTTCTGGATAAAGAGACTTAGGGGCTTAAAGCTTAAAATATTCAGTAGTTAAATTAAAAGTCCATAGATCAAATTTCCCAGTTACTCAGTGGTGAAGGGTAGTATTCTGCTTCTCCAAAACAAAACAAAAAGGGAAAGAAAAGTATAGCCTTCTAAAATCCTCTGTCATATAGTCACTATGAATCAGAATCAACTTTGTGACAATTAGTTTGCAATTTTCTTTTCTTTTTCTGTTCTATGTACCATTGAATCAGAACCAATTCATGGTTGGTCTGCCAGTGGGTTTTCAGAGACAATAAATAATAACACAGGAGGTGATTTTCTGTCTTTCTCATTCAAAACAACTCTTGGATTTGAACTGTATACTTGTGTAAGGACAGTGATACTCCTTATCTTTAGGCCACCAGAGCTCTTCCTTCTTATGTTATTGGGTGGCATTTAATCAAGTACAACTCATAGCCACCTTATGAAAAACAGTATTGAATTCTGTTCTATCTTTTGCCATACAGTATTAAATTCTGTTCTATCTTTTGCCATCCTCATCATTTCTAACACATTGGAGCCCTTTCTGGAGTCACTATCAATAATCATTGGAAGACATCCTCTTTTTTTATTGATCTTCCACTCTTCCAAGCATGATATCCCTTTCCAAAGAATATTCTCTCCTAGCAACGTATCTGGATGGATGGTGAAGAGATTGAGATTGTTCACAGCTTTAGTTTGCTTGGCTCCACAGTCAACACTCTTGGAACCAGCAGCCAGGAAATTAAAAGACGTATTGCTATGGGAAAGTCAGCTGTTAGGGACCTCTCCAAAGTAGTGAAGAACAATGGTGTCTCTCTGGAGACTAGGGTGTGTCTGATACAGGTCATGGTCTTTGCAATCACTTGTTATGCATCAGAGAGTTGGACAATGACTAAGAAGGATAGAAAGAGAATTGATGCCTTCCAGCTGTGGTGCTGGAGAAGAGTATTGAGGGTACCAAGGACTGCTAGGAAAACAAACAGGTTTATCTTGGAAAAACTTAAACTGGGCTGCTCCTTGTAGGCAAGAATTCTGAGGCTTTGTTTAACATACTTTGGACACCTGTTCTTGGAGAAGGACATCATGCTTGGAAGGGTGGAGAGACAGATCAGGAGAGGAAGGCCCTCTATGAGGTGGATTGATTCAGCAACTGGGGTAATCGGGATGGGTGTGTCAGAGACAGTGCGATTGGCACAAGATAGAGCAGAGTTTAGGACTGTTGTACATAGGGTCGCTATGAGTCACAAGTGACTCAATGGCACATAACAACAACAACAGCAACATATCCAAAGAATGAAATAGAAGTTTGTCATCCAAAGAGTACTCTGGCTGCAGCTATATTATTTTTTATCACATACAGTTTACTTTATGTATTTTAATGTTTGGATTCTCTAATGTTTAAGTATTTTTTATAAATTTATAGAATTAATCCTAGACACATAGTTGCTGTTGCTTGACGATGACTCATAGTAATCCTTGAACAACACATGTGCTATCCTCACTATCTCTGATGTGATCAATCTCATTATTACAGTTATTGTGTCAATCTATCTTATTGAGGACTTTACTCTCTTTATCTTAGCCATCATATTTCCTTCCATGATGTCTTTTTCCAAGGATTAGTTAGTTGTTCTTGAAAACATGCCCAAAATATATGAGATGAAGTATCACCATCTTTGCCTCTGAGGAGAACACTAGTTGTACTTCCTCTAAGAAAAATGTGTTTATTCTTTTGGAAAGTCATGGTTTATACAACACTCTTAGCCAACATTACAATTAAAAGACATATATTCTTAATTCTCCACTCATTGTTCTTTTTCATTGTTCAATTTCATTTTTATTGGAAGAAATAGAAAAGACCATGGCTTAACTCTTCACCATGGCTTCATCTTGCTTGGATTCTATCTTCAACTTGGATCATGTTTTACAAAGTTTAGTGGAACAAACTCTGTATCCTTTTTTATTCTATTTACATAAATTAGATATGATACAAGGAATATTTTAATTAAGTGCAATTTGAGCTTTCCTTATAGGCAAGTATAGTAACTTTTTCCTCTTATATGTTGTTGTTATGTTGTTATGTGCCGTCGAGTCTTTTGCGACTCATAGCGACCCTATGTACAACAGCCCTAAACCCTGCTCTATTACCTGTCACTGAATCAATCCATCTCATAGAGGGTCTTCCTCTCCTGCGCTGTCCCTCCACCCTCCCAAGCATGATGTCCCTTTCCAAGGACCCGTCCCTCCTTGCAACATGTCCAAAGTATGCCCAGAATCCTTGCCTCCAAGGAGTAGCTTGGTTTAACCCACTCCAGGATGAATCTGTTTGTTTTCTGGGCAGTCCAGGGTACATTCAATACTCTTCTCCAGCACCACAGCTCAAAGGCATCAATTCTCCTTCTGTCCTCCCTAGTCATTATCCAACTCTCTGATGCATAACGAGTGATTGCAAAGACCGTGGCCTGTATTAGTTGCACCTTCTTCTCCAGAGAGACACCGTTGCTCTTAAGTATGTTAGAGAGGTCCTTAACAGCAGACTTTCCCATCTCAATACGTTTTTTATTTCCTGGCTGCTGGTGCCAAGAGTGTTGACCGTGGAGCTGCGCAAACTGAGGCTGTGAATAATCTCAATCCCTTCGCCATCTATCCTGATGCTACCAAATGGTCCAGTGGTGAGAATCTTTGTCTTCTTGACATTGAGCCTCAGTCCATACTGAAGGCTGCAGTCCTTGACCCTTTGCAGCAAGTGCATGAGGTCCTCCTCAGTTTCAGCAAGCAGGGTTGTATCATCTGCATAATGCAGATTGTTAGTAGATCTTCCACCAATCCTGATGCCACAATTCTCCTCATAGAGCCCAGCCTCCCGGATAATCTGTTCTGCATACATGTTGAAAAGGTATGGAGACAGGATGCATCCCTGGCGTACACCCTTCCCAATTTTTAACCATACAGTGTTACCCTGCGCTGTTCTGACAACTGTGTCTTGGTACAAGTATAGGTTTTGCATTAGGACAATTAAATGTTCTGGGATTCCCATTCTCTCATATATTTGTGTATATAGAGGCCCGTCCTTGGAAAAATACATTATACTGAGAAAAGGGGAGAGTGAGCAAAAGATAGGAAGACTTGCAACAAGATGGATTGGCCCAGTGTAACAATGGGCTCTAGTATAATGGAGTTCATGAGGACAGAACAGGTTAGGGCAAGGTTCAGATTAGTTGCTCATAGAGTTACTACAAATCTTAATTTATTTGAAGGCACTTAGTTACAAAAATGATTGAACTAAACAGATATGTTTAGCCGTTACTATCATCTCACTTCCAATCTATTGTTGTTATGTACCATAGAGTCAGAACTGACCCATAATTGACTCACCAGTGGATTTTCAGAGGCAGCAATCTTATGAGAGGAGATTGTCCATCCTCCCACAGAGCAGCAGGTGGCCTCAAACCGCATGCCTTTAGGATTGCAAGACAGCTTCTTACCAATAGGCCACCACTTTCAATCTAGTTCCCGCTTTCAATCTAGGTGAACTACTTATGTAGAGTTGAATGTTCTTTCCCCCCCGGTTAATTATTAACTCTGAAATTCCCAATGCATGTTCTGGTATATATTTTAGAACTCTTTTTCAAGAAAAGCTAAACCATCCTCTGACACATTCATCTTTTTCTTGATAAGCTAATACATTCATTGAGATATTTTAATATAACTTCTACATAATTAGGAATATTAAAATGTTACAAAGTCAGAAAATGGACTAAGATATAATGATATCTATTTTATCTATAAATTTCCCTTTTTAATTAGAAGGCTGTGATTGAAACATCTGTTTGGTTTGATGTTACTGTGTTACCAATACATCCTTAGTTTTTGGCTTTTCTTTATTCTAATTTTTGAAGTTTCACTGTGCAAGAGAACCACATCATTGACATGTTGATTCTGAAAATCCAATCTAAGCAACTACTTTACCCTTGACTGATAGATGTCTCCATGTCACAGTTGGTTCAGGTCTGCCAATAGCAAGACACAATAGAGTGACACTGCTTCCTTCATTCACGGTGATGTCTGAGGAGATATTCATGATCTGTGGAGGAACTGTAAAGAGAAGAATAGAAGTTCCTGAGAATTATTCTTTGTACTTAAAAAAGATATTAAAATATATACAAATATAAATAGCCTGTTTTTATTGTGAATGGTTTTCTCAGTAATAATTCTCTTTGGCTCGATCTGTGAAAGATGTAGACATAGGGAATATTTATATGTTCTTGTCATACAAAAAAATTCTTTACTATGACACGTCACCTTCCCTTGGAGACAGTACAACTAAACTTAAGAGACAC